CCACCAGCTGAGCTGTGTTCTCGCTGATCTCTGACGGCTTCACCACCACAGCATTGCCTACAAGACAAATGCAGCATGGCGACTCATCACTCCTCCTGCTCTCCTGCAGCACCCACCTATGGACCCACGAAGGACAGGGGCTGTGGTGGGTCCCCGGTTTCTCCACGGCCAGTCCCTTCCAGACCCCACAGCCCGGTCCATCGTGCCTGAGTGACACTGGCAGTCCAGGCACAACAGCCCAGACATGTCCACCTGCCCCACAGGGTCCCTGCCCCTCTGATGAGCCCCCACCAAGAGCTTCAACAGCCTGACCTGCAGGCAACGGCCAGGTCACAGTCCTTGTCGATGTAGCAGGGGCTCTTCCCGCCCAGCTCCAGGGTGACGGGTGTCAGGTGCTTGGCAGCCGCTGCCATCACGATTTTGCCCACCGTGGAGTTGCCAGTATAAAGAATGTGATCAAATCTCTGGGTCAGCAGCTGCGTTGTCTCAGGTACTCCTCCAGTGACCACGGGATACAGCTCCTGTAGGGTAAACAAGAGCCTTACAGTTACCTTGATTAAAAGCAAATATATCAAGGCAGCAGCCCTGCATGGGCAGACTCACTTGTGAGCTACATTAGGATCTGAATAAAGGATAGCAATAACAGAGACAAGCTCTTCTCCTTCCCCTGAAGTTTCACTTGCTGTATGGTTGCACATGATCTAAAAGAAATAGAGGTTGAGGCCAGGGCTGAGTCAGGCTGTGGACCTACTCCCACATATTAAGACCAGGGGCACATACAACTGCTGGGGTCTCCCAGGGACTGTCTCCTTCCTCAGCTCTCACCCCTCGCCTACAGAATGCACTAACTCCCCAGAGGAAACTGCACAGTGAGGCCCTGCTGCACAGGAGGGGACAGCCCAGGGAGGCAGGGCAAAGTCTTCGAGGACTGCGGTGCACATCAGTAAAAAACATCTGGCAGGGGAAAGGCAGCCCCTGGGGTCACTGCCTTCCCTCAGGGCTGACCCCTGCCCATGCGCAGCAGAAGGGAGAACCCCCCCTGCCGACCCAGACCTTGTGCAGATCTGCCTTGATGGCTGCCAGGATCTCCTTCTCCTTCTCCTGCACCATCCGCTCCAGGGCCTTCAGCTGCTGCATCCTGAACTCCAGAGAGCGGCACCGGCCCGAGTTGAAGGCGGCTCTCGCCCGCCCAACGACCTGCTGCATCTTCTCCATGGCTGCTCAGCGCTGCGGGGAGAGAGCAGCAAGACCCAGCTCACCACGGGGCCATTGAGGGCTGCTCAGGCCTGGGAACACTCAACATGGGGCCACCACCAAGAAATCTCCCACCCAGATCAAGGCTAGAAGATGTTCTCCTTCTTGGGTCACCTCCTGCTCCCGAGGGGGCTCCCATCTTCCAAGGCCCTGTCCTGCTTGCGCAGGGTCCACCAACGGACGACACCTCTCACAGCAACCCGCCATCTCTGGGCATGGCTGACAGAACCTTCTCTGTGGGTGCTTTCTTCTGGCTCAGCGATACCCTTAAACCCACCAGCCACCCCACCTTCTGCTCACAGGGATGCTCCCAAGGAGCCGAAACACGGAGATGACCGTGATCTTGGTGGGCAGCCGTCCAGAAGCAGAGCTGTGTGCCTGAAGCCGGCCTGTGCCCGCCTTCCTCGTGACTGCGAGGCCCTCGCGTGGCATCATCACAGAAACACGAGGAAAGGTTGCAGAGGTTTCATCCCGCTTCCCAGGCACAGTCTTTAGTCCGGACAAGCGATCTGCCTGCCGTCCCTGCCTAACCGAAGGAGGCACCGAGGTTCCCTTGCAACTGTTTAAATCTGCCCTTCCCTGCCTGCCGCCGCAGCTGCGTGACGCAGCCCCGATCCTGACCAAGAAAGCAGCTAAAAAAAAAAAAAAAAAAAAAAAAAGAAGGAAAAAAAGAAAGTTACCTTCAGAGCAGCTTCTCTCTCCACCCGTCTCTCGCAGCAAGTGCAAGCAGGCACGAGCCCTTCCCCTGACGCAGCTCGGAGTGATTTCTCCTCCCACGAGAGGATAGCTGGCTCAGGCCCAGGGCTCTCGCTAGATACAAGATGCCCTTTACCCAGATATATCCTCACCCTGCGAAAACGCGAGCCCTGGATCGCCACGTTCAGCCGGGGCCGTGACTCAGCCGCCCCTGCGGGATTGCGAGAGACCACGTGGCTTTGCCCACGTTGGGGGCACGAGGCCGGGGGAGCGCTTTCACGTGCCGCAGCAGCCGTCGGGAGCCAACGAACGCAGCCCGTGCTATCGTCCGGATCTGAACAAACCCCGAACGGGCAGCGCCCGCAGGTGGGAGGCAATCAAGGGGGGGGTGGATTTGCACAGGACAGGAGGAGAAACAGTCCAGCTCCTCCACAGCTCCCAGCACCGCCTCTGCCCACGCCCTACCTGCCTCCGCGCACCTCTCCGGCAGCTCCCCTGCCAGAGCTCTGGAGCGTTCATCCCCTGGGAGATCCATCCCCTGCCCTGCCAGAGCTCTGGGGGATCTGTCCCCATGATCGGGGAGGCCATCGTGCTGGGGACCTGTGCTCCCGTGCTGCGGCAGAGGCACCTGACACCACCTGCGTGACATTCGGCCACGCCACGGCCAGAGCCGGGAGTGGCAGAGGACAGGCAAGATTCCCCAGGAGCCTGCAGGGACTTAGCACGCTCGGTTTATTATTTAAATTCTCAGTGTTTATTTAGTACTTGCAAAATATATCATTAAAAAGGTTTAGGCACATGGATTTTCACCAGACATGAAGAAATCCCACCTATTGCACAGTAAATATAATTTTCTGCTCTATAGTGAGTAATTGCATTTAATAATAATTTTTAAATTTACCTTATTTAAACATTAATATTTCTAAGGTCCTTTCACCTTAAGTTTCTCCAGCATCCTCTCCCCAAGCTAGAACAAGCCCCATATTATCTCCCAGAGCAAGATTACAGCAGACCCAGAAGCTCGAACACAAAGGAGTACAACTCTTTCAGTAATTGTTTTCCCTTGAAGGAATCTGACCATGAACGGGTTTGTACTGGTTTCGGCTGGGATGGAGTTAATCTTCATCATAGTCGCTAAGTTTCTTCATAGTAGGATGGTGCTGTGTTTTGGATTTGTGACCAAAACAGTGTCAGTAACACACCCGTGGTTCAGCTGTGCAAAACACTGCTCACACAGCGTCAAGGTCTCTGTTTCTCACTGCCCCGCCAGCGCGTAGGCTGCGGTTTGCAAGAAGCGGGGAGGGGACACGGCTGGGAGAGGTGACCTCACCTGACCAAAGGGATATTCCAGACTATATGTCGTTGCGCTCAGTGATAAAAGCTGGAGGGAAGGAAGAGAAAGAGGGGGGACATTGGAAGTTACAGCATCTGTCTTCTGAAGTCACTGTTAAGTGTGCTGAAGCCCTGCTTTCCTGGGGATGGCTGAACATCTGTCTGCTGAGGGGGAAGTAGCGAATGAATTCCTTAATTTGCTTGCTTGCATGCCCAGGTTTCACTTTACCTATGAAACTTTATCTCAACCAACAAGTTTTCTCACTTTTACCCTTCTGATTTTCTTCCTCGTCCCACTGCGGGGAGTGAGTGAGTGGCTGTGTAGGGCTTGGGTGCCCAACTGGGCTAACCCTCAACAGGGTACTCTGCGATTCCCTCTCCTCTGAACAGGCCTGAAACGTCTTTCGTATGAGCACAACATACCCCTATCAGCAAAATATAGGCAGCGCAGGTATCATCTTTGTAATTTTCTAACTGCCAAATAATTCTTATAGGCACACGATGAAACCCAGAGTCCCAAAAAAGGGAGTCAGCCTGCACCTCCTGACCAGCTGTGGATGATTCTGGCCCATAGGGATCCACGATCATTTCACCTCAATTAAACAGCAGAGGGGACCTCACTAGGTTTATTCATAACCATAAACCATCAACCAGCAGAGCCCGTCTCAGACTCGGCACCAAGAAAGTGGTTGTTGGGAGCACAACAGAAGACAGACCATCCTGAAAACTGCAGGGAAAACAATGGCAACCCAGTCACAGCTGAAACTTAAGCTCCTGTTTGTCACTGAAGGAAGGGAAGCGGTTTGGTGCAAGACACAGCGTGTGTCCCTGGAAGCAGCGCTCTGCATGGCATGGGGTGGAGGTGGGGACTGGTATTTCTTGCTCTGCAGTCCTCCTTTTGAGAGCTTGTACCCACTGGTCCCTCTGTTTCAGCATGGCTTTTTCGTAAACAGGAGTCTGAGCCTTCTCTTGGTTAGTGCCTCTCTAAGGCTACTCTGTGTGCTTGACAGCTCACTGAAATAACCCAGTAGAAAAGAAAAAAAAAAAAAAAAAAAGACTTCTCAGCTTAAGGAAACAGACAAAGCGAGTGCTCAGAGTATGACTTGCACACAGCGCCTTCTCCTCTCTTCAGTAGTAAACCATCTGTGAAAGCAAAACACAACACCAACGTCCTGTGAAGGATTTGCTGAAACAAAACCAACTCGAGTTCTAGAACAGCCTGAAGCAAAGCCCCTTCGCGAGCACAGCTCACCTGCGCCCTCAGCATGCACTGACTGGGATGCTGTATGAGCTCCGAGCACTGCCACGGAAAGCATCGCTCTCTGGCTCCAGCAGGAACCTTCTACAAGCCCCACATTCACTACTCTAACAAGGTTTTGCCCAATCTCAAAACAGGTCTACACACAGGAGAAGAAAAAAGCTCCTACCTCACTGTGACAGCCACAGCAGTGCTCTGAAACCTGCTCCTCCTTACCACTCACTGAGCCAGCCCAGCCTCTGAACAGCCAGCACAATCAAGAGGGCTTTTCTCTTCAGCACAGACTGGTGATTCTGAGAAAACCCAAATGATTTCAAGATGCCGTGAGTTTCCCCTCTCTTCGCTGAGAAGGCATTCACCTAGACAGGGCCTGCCTCCCTGGCTGCTGCTTCAAGCCCTGAGCCAGTTGTTGGCTTTTACACCTCCTCCTGCACTCAGATATGCAGTCAGGTTATTTCCCCCAGCTTGCTGGGCTCCTGCACGTCTCCTTGCAGCAGTAACAACGCAGAACAGACTGAAGGGCAGAGTGTGATCCACCCTGCCGTCTCCTGTCCCCTCAGTGGCTGCTCCCTTAAGCCTACTAAACCCCCAGGATGCACAGTTAAGCTCTGCAAGGAGCAGCCAGCGCAGGCACACATAGCGCCTGGTCCGCCAGCCACGGAGAACCACTAGCGATCACACTTGGTGTTTTAGATCTTATCCCTCCACCTCAGGAAGCCTCTCGAGTCCTCCAGCCAGCAGGCTTCTGCCTCCCACAGAGAGGGGAGGACATCCCACCCTTCCGCACCACCTAGCCAGAAACAGGGGAGGAAATGGAAATAATTGAGCTAAGGTCAGATGGGGGCTGCAACTGGCTGAGAACAAGAGCTCGTTGTAGCCCTAAGCTGCGGCACAAAACCACAGCCAGCTAGGCTAGGCCGCGGAGCAGCTCGCAACACAGCTGAAGAAAGCCCAGGAATCAAAATCACTCTAGAGACCTGTCCGAAACACACTGCTCACTGCCTCTGGAGGGAGTTTCTCACAGGTGTCACTCACCAAGGCAGAGCAACAACTAGCAGAGCAGCCTAGGAGATTTCTCTGAGGACGTTTCTATTCTAGATAGCGCTTGCAAGAGTGAGAAGCACACCTCAGTAATTTCTATCGTAAGTCTCAAGACAGAAAAAACAGGTCAGGTTCTATGAAAGGACTGCAGTTGCAAAGAGGGAACTTGCAGAAGATCAGACGAACTGTACATGCACTCAAGTAGATGGCAAAGAGCTAAAGCTCACCTTTATCACCACCGCTGCCACAATCCCCAGCAGGGCCAAGATGGCCAGACCCACTCGGCCCTTGTTAAACCGCTTCAAGAGGAAGAACTTGGCCCAATCCACCTTCTTCTGGCTGCTAGGTGGGTACCGGAGTTTGTTCGTACCCTCCATCTTCAGGTCCTTGATCAAGCAGGCGCGGCGGTGGGAGAAGGTCTCAAAGCTGTGCTTGCCGTGGTAGGCGCCCATCCCGCTGTTACCTGAGGGACATAACCCAGGCAGGTCACACCACAGGCTCAGCCAGTCAAACCTTTGGCCACTTGAGGCCACCAGCACGACAAGAAGCAGCACAGAAAAATTCCAGCCGCTTGTCAGCTGCAGTGCGTGCTACCCACCCTGCATCTGCCTTGCTGCAGTTTGAAAGCACAACT